ACAGCATGACCCTCAGAGTCTCCTTGTGTGTGCCTGTGTGTTGTGTGTCTTGCAGCGTGGCATTGGGCCATGCAGCGGTGCCTGAGTTGCAAGGCTTGCTGGGGCAGCAGTGGGAGCCCAACCTGATGCAACCTCACCCGTAAGTGCCTACAAAGCCTGGTCCCTGGGGTGGACCATCCCCAGACCCATGCCTGAGCTGTTTCTTAAAGGGAATGAACCATTTCCCAAAGGAGGAGATAGGAGGAAACACATGTATCAACGTGGGCAACTGGTGTCCAGGGCTCTGGAACAAACTGGAAAGAGAGGTTATCTACCTCTGCACCCAGCAGGGCAGGTGGGACTGGTGCACCCACGTGCCCTTCTCCCACAGCAGGTATTGAAGCAACTGCCTTGACCTTCTTGGCCCCAGGAACTTGAATTTCAAGTCAAGCTACCTAAATTTACTGCGTAGGTAGTCCTAAATACTATTGCCTTTGGTGCTACCTTACCAGCTGGGCTCTGCACACCCCCAGCACAGGAGAGCTCCCAAAAGGAACAGCCCACAGGACATAAAAAAAAAAAAATCCCCCTTCCTTCCTGCACAAAGTACAGCTACAGGCTCAGAAACATGCAAGAGATGTGTGTGTTGCACATGGGCTCTCTAAGGAGGCGTCTTGAGGTTGAGAGAGGTGTTTGCAACCTCCAGAAAAGGCCTAAAGGCCCCATGTATGCTGTGAAATCAAGCTTGTCCCAAACTGCCCTCTGGCCCTGAGGCCAACGGGTGCAGAACAGCCTGTGTCCAGCTGTCTGTCCTCTTCTCCACTGCAGAGGGACCAAACCCAGACTCCCGATGTTAAAGGTCTCTGCTTCATGCCCGTTCCTGAACCCCCCAGATGTGAAGTGACAGCTCTTTAATGCATAACCGGTAGTCGCTTATACATGTGTGCTGGCCCCACGCTAAATATAAGCCAGCCTGTCCTGCAGCGAGCAACCTCACTCCTACCACGATAAGGGTGCACCCAGGGCTTTCACCATGGGAAGCTGTGCTGGTGCAGGAATAACCGCAAAGCTTGTGTGATCCACTGCAGTCAGAGAGGGGTCCAGAGCTGCCTTGGAGCCTGAATTTCAGTCTTAAATCACCCAAAGCTTTCCCTTCCCCTTGGCTCATGTCACAGCCGGGATTGGCACTGGAAGGGCCCTTCTGCACGAAGGGGAATGGTGCAAAGGCAGGTCAGCCACCACCTCCTCCTCCCACCAACCTTGCCAACTCTCACACTACTACTTCGCTGCTGGAAAGCGTACCCAAAGCTTCCCCCACCTCCAAAATACCTCCAGCTCAAGTGAAATACCTGCTGCTGGTCATCAATGGGAATGTAGTGTACAAATGAGTTAGCGGGACACCTGGGCTCTCTACCAAGCTCCACCTATGACTTACAGTGCAAGCCTGGCCAAGTGTTCGGACTCCCTGAGCTCCTGTTTCCCTCCAAACCCAAGACTGTTTTGTCTCATGAGTTTTCATGAGTTTTGGTGAAGAAAGAATAAAAGATCATACTCAGCACATAGGCTTACATTCATCTTCAGGTAAACCGCCTCTGGAGATGTTTCTCCTGACTATAAATTCATTATGATCAGGTATGTGACTTGCTCTATATAGCTGTGCCACACCTAGGGCCAAAGGACAGTCATCATTAGTTAAAAATGTACCACTAATGCAGTAAGCATTCTGGGATTTCAGCCCAGAGGGAAAAAAAGGCTTTAAAAGCAAATAAAACAAACACATGTTGCATGAAGTGACAAGCAGAATAATCTAATTGCTGAGTTTTAAAAACAAAAGAAGAATCTGTTATAAGCTTAAAAGCAAAAGACATCCCAGAACTCTGATATTTGCCAGTTTAAATGTCTCTTTGATCAGTTTTCTTGTTTATTTTTGTTTGCTGTGTAGCCCACTAGAGTTATTCCATCTCCAGCTCAAATTGCATCTGTGTCTCTACTTGAGCATAACACAAGTCACCTTGGAAGGAGCACAGCAGAAAAAAAAAAAGAATAAAAAAAAAATTGGCAAATCTTTGAATAGTAACTGAGGAACAGCTATTTCACTAAAACCAACTTCAAGTCAATGTGCTCTCTCACTAGGCCAAAAAAATGTTCCTTTCTTGGGATTAAAGCAGCTCTCCTAAATGAAGCTGGCTATGATTGACGCTTTAATTGACTGGCACAATTTCATGCTTTAATAACTCTGGGCTCCTCAGTTTAGCCATGAATAAATTTAACTGCTAAGCCCTTGCATATAAATCCTCTTGCCTGGAAGTTCCTATTCTCTTTTTAAAATGTAAACTTGGATTAACAAGACTCACTGACACATCAGGAGCTGGATGCGGTAATCTGCAGCATCCCCTGGTCAACACACTCACCAGTTCCCCCAGCTCCTTCCCTTCTGGACCACCACAACTGGCTGGCAAAGGGCACCAGGTGGGATGTCTCTAGCCCTCAGCTGGAGAAGCCCTTATGCATTTTGGGAGCTCAGCATCACGCTGACATCTGGTCAGCAATTAGTGGGATAATCAACTTGTGCTGAAGCTGATAACCAACAGAAGAGCAGGAAAACATCTCCTTTCTGAGCACCATCTTCTGTGCCTCTGGTACTTGCCCTGGGGCAAGGATAACATTTTCTTGGGGTGCCTCAAGCAGCCCCTTCTAATTTGGCAGGCGCAAGGGCTGGCCCTGGGCAGCCGTGAGACAGCAGGAGCTAGTGGCTGTGCTCAGCCCCTCTTGCATTTTCTAATCACGCGTTGTCCCAGATATGGCTTGCTCATGCTTGTAATTTTGCAAAAGCTCGGGTGTGATACCTAAGGGGAGAGCTTTGGGCTGGCTTATCTCCTGCTGTCTTGCATCTTTTATGTAGGTATGAACGTTGTGGGTCTGGTCTGTGGTTGCAGTGCCCTTCTTCCTTGGATGGGTCCACAGTAAAGCAGGATGAAAATGCAGCTCCTAGGCAGACTCCGTGTTTCGGGCTGTATTTTTAGCTTTTCAGTCAGGCTTTTTGCTTTTTCTTCAATGTGTCTAAATCTCCTAATTTAGCAATCACAGCTGGTTCCTGGACCAAACGCTTTTTTTCCAGAAATGTCCTCCTCCTCCAGCACCTTAAGTTAGCGATATTTAGATTCATTTCAGGTTGAAGAGAAAAGAAGCTGCAGCTGGAAATTCAAGTGAGGTTCAGCGTTTAGTCAAAATGCTGTGAACCCATCACTCCTGAGAGGCTTTTGGTTTCCCATCCCTCTGTCACCTCACACAACGGGATCACTCAGGCGCCTGAGACTGCGTTTGAGTGACGGTGGCCTGGAAAAGCCCATTTCCTCCAAAGGTATCTTTGATTGAGAACCGCCCCCCTGTTTCCAAGATCTCCCCTCCAGATGCCCACCCAGCTCCAGCCCAACTCCTTTGGGCTGTCCCTTCCTCCCTAGGGAAACACTGGTCAGAAACTGGGATGCCTGCAAATACCATGAGTCCATGTCCGTGGCAAGGAAGATGCCCTGAAGATGCTCATGGTGGTTTTCTGGACAGCCCCATAAGAGTGACGGATCAGGCTGGACTGTTGATTCATCCCAGATGAGCTGGAGGAAAACAGAGGCAAAGAGGAGGTGACCAGGTAAAAAATCATTAATGGGCCACTTCCACAGCACTGAACTGGGTCTTTGAAGTCCTCCCTGGGAGGAGATGGTCTCAGATGCCCCAACAGCTACGGCACGACCCGAAGCCCTGCCAGAAACAAAACTCCCTGATCAACATGCCTGCCTAATTAATGGATCTCAATGGATCACATTTCCTTGCTCCTGGTGTCAGAGCCTTGTAGCTAAAATCTGGATACAATGCTTAGCTCGCTGGTGTTGATTTACTAACATGCAGCTTCTGCAAGCTTTCTCCCCGGCATGCATTAAAGCACTGGTGGATGTTGGTAAAACAGATGGTTGGTTCCTGTAAAAAAAAATAAATATCATGAGTGCTTGCCAATATATGGGGGTTTTCAGGACTCTCTTTGTGTTGTAGAAATGGGCTCCCTGAGGAAAACTTGAGACCTAGACTGAGTTGGAGGAAAGTGGCTGTGGTTTTCTCATGCAGTGTGTCTGCTGCCCATTAAATCACGCAGACAAGAAGTGAGACCCCCATCTGTTGGCTATCTATCCGTCTGGCAGGAATTTGGCCTTGCAGTGATGTAAGAGGTGGGCAGGAAACAGTGGGGGGGCGTTTGCTCTTTTGTTATCACCTCGTTGCTTTGTTTCATTTGGAGGGGCCGTGGGGTTGCGGGGAAGCCCCATCTCGAACCTAAGCTTTGACTATGCCGGTCCTAGATTTAGATCCTGCCCCTTTTGCTAATGAAATGAGAAGCATGAAGGTGGCATAAATAGGAAAATTTCTTGGTATTTCTGTAGCATCTTCTGCCTAGTAGCTTGTAATAATTTGTATTACCTTCTGTTTCATGTTGACCTCTGACAAATGTAGAAATCTATGGTATCAAAGACTCCTCTTCTTTGCCAAAAGGAGCAGTTTCGTGGTCACAATGAGGGACCCCAGGGGCAGGGAGGGAACCAGCAGGGCTGGATGAATGGTTCAGTTAGGCTGGATGCAGCCCACAGAGCGTGAGTCATCCAGCTGATACAGGCATATGCCTGTAAATCTCATTGGGTTCATGTGCGCAACTGGCAGCTATGTTCAATGTGAACTCCCCTGCGTGTGCAAAGGACTTCTGCTCTTTTCTGATAAGGACAGGTTTGCTCAAAATGGGGCCTGGGACCACCCTCCCCTCCTTGGAAACCCCATCCCGGGTGGGGTCTGCCCAGGGGGGGGCTCGGCAGCTCTGCGACTCAGATCTGGTAGGGAATATCCTGAGTGGACGCTGCTGGGTTGCGTTGGAGGTTACTGCCATAGCAATGCATAATGCCGACAAGGCCCAAATCTGGCTCATTTCTTAAGATAAACGCTCCTGGGGTGAGCAGAAAATATTTTAAAGAGGTTGCAGCAGGGTGTCAGGAGAGGTGGGACTCCCAAGCATCTTCTTCCGAGGACTTGCTGAGTCGCTTGTCTCTGCTCCTTGGCTTTCCCCATCTGTAAGGGGATGTCCAGGTAGACCCAAGTGTGTCTGTGGAGGTCTTGGCTTGCTGAAGTAAGAGACAGGATGAAACCCATCATCCCCGTGACTTCCCTCTGACCCCCTCAGTGGTGTTTCTGGGATGCAGATGGACAGCTCTGGCTCAGCCCTCAGGCCATTGCAGGTCATGGGGCCTCGCTTCATTCCTCCTTCATCCCTCCCCTTCCAAGCACACTCGCTTTGCAAAGTCAAAGCACTTGTCAGCACCGTACAGCCAGGTCACAGCGATGTGCGGATGGACAGCGGGCAATGCACCACATGCCTGCTCTTATTTTAATAGTCATGGTTAATTAGCAGGTTTCCCACGCAATAGATGAGGACCTGGAGACCCATCACATTCTTTGTCCTCACCTGGCACCCACAAATTTTCCTGCTTCTCTATGTATCATTCCACCATGGTCTTCAAAGATGGACCTGCTGCTTTCTCAGGGGACAGGTGGTGCATCAGAAGGGTGCATTGGTCACAGGTCTCTGTTGGTGGCCCCTGCTCTTCTCTTAGCCACAAGCACAGGATCGGTCACCACCCATCACTGGGCAGTGCCAGCTCTGCCTCATCCTCCACCCACATCCCCAGGGATGAGGCTCATCCTGCATCCTCGGCATCCACGGCGCAGACCTCTGCATCTGAGCCCAGCACATCTGGATGGCTGCACCAACCCTCACCCTTCTCCCAAAGGAAAAGGCTGCTTCAGCTTCAGTCTGACTATAAATAACGAAAAGCCTGGCCTCGCTTTGGCCTGTCTCAATGCTGCCATGTCAGTGAACAAAGGTCGGTCAGTGGAGTTGGGAAAATTTAATTTGGTTTAAGGGAAAGGAAATATGGGCTGAATTGCCCCCAGTTGCTCACAGAAGAAAGGCGGTGTGGTGCAACTGAACTGCAACTCGGTGAGATGCTTCAGCAGCACTTAGGGATAAACGGGTTTTCAAAAGCACTTGTTTTGAAGGGAAACTGGCAACAGAAACAGACTCTTCTCTGGGAATGGTGGGAGGAAGCTAAAAAATAACAGTGGTGGAAAACTGCACCAGCTCTTTTCTACGCCTCATCTGCTGCTTTATTAGTACTCCTAAATCTGTTTTGCTAAATATAAACATACCCAAATTTACATAAACTTCATTAAAAGCTTGTGTCTCAACTCTGCTGCTCCTGTAACACTCCCAGGAAATGGAGAACTTCAAACTCCTCTGCAGTAAAATAAGCAACTGCAAGAGAAACAAAACTATATTTTAAGGGCATTTTTGGTTTTTCCCTGGTTTATTTCTGCATGTATCTGCCTGTGCCTCCAAGGCTTGTGGGTGACTTTTCTTTCCCTTTGGGGTCCTTTCTGCCCAAACCTGGAGCAATGCTTCCCATCTCCTAAAAGTACATTAAAAAAGAGAAGTGGAAGCCTGATAAAATACCAAATGTGATGGGCATTGCTCTTCTAAGTGCTTTTATTTCCCTGCTGGTCCCGCTGCTCACGTCCCCAGTGAGGCTGACCGGAGACACCCAGGGGACATGCTGGCAGTGCTGATACAGGTTGTCTCCTCTGAGACATGCTGTGGGACTCGGGCATGTGTCAGTGAGGAAGAAGAGGACCATATTTCTGGTTGGTTAGCACTTAACTAAAACCTAAAGGAGGGTGTCTGGCTGGCAGTGTTTGCTGGAGCCACAAGTGCTGGTTTCTCTTTGGGAACACTTAAGGGTTTGCTGGGATTTGGGGTCACATCCCTAGTGCACCCAGTGCCTCAGTTTCCCCAGAGAGTCTGACTCTTGAAAGATGTCAGTTTCATAGAATCATAGAATCATTAAGGTTGGAAAAGACCTCTAAGAACATCTAGTCCAACCGTCGACCCAACACCACCATGCCCACTAAACCATGTCCCTAAGCGCCTCAGCTACACGTCTTATAAATACTTCCAGGGATGGGGACTCCACCACTTCCCTGGGCAGCCTGTTCCAATGTTTAACCACTCTCTCAGTAAAGACATTTTTCCTCATGTCCAATCTAAACCTCCCCTGGCGCAACTTGAGGCCATTTCCTCTCATCCTATCGCTTGTTACTTGGGAGAAGAGACCGACCCCACCTCGCTACAACCTCCTTTCAGGGAGTTGTAGAGAGCGATGAGGTCTCCCCTCAGCCTCCTTTTCTCCAGGCTAAACAACCCCAGTTCCCTCAGCCGCTCCTCATCACACTTGTTCTCCAGACCCCTCACCAGCCTCGTTGCCCTTCTCTGGACACGCTCCAGCACCTCAACGTCCTTCTTGTAGTGAGGGGCCCAAAACTGAACACAGTAGTCGAGGTGCGGCCTCACCAGGGCCGAGTACAGGGGCACGATCACTTCCCTGCTCCTGCTGGCCACACCATTTCTGATACAGGCCAGGATGCCCTTGGCCTTCTTGGCCGCCTGGGCACACTGCTGGCTCATGGTCAGCCGGCTGTCGACCAGCACCCCCAGGTCCTTTTCCGCCAGGCAGCTTTCCAGCCACTCTTCCCCAAGCCTGTAGCGCTGCATGGGGTTGTTGTGGCCGAAGTGCAGGACCCGGCACTTGGCCTTGTTGAACCTCATCCAGTTGGCCTGGGCCCATCGATCCAGCCTGTCCAGGTCCCTCTGCAGAGCCTTCCTACCCTCGAGCAGATCAACACTCCCGCCCAACTTGATGGTGTCTGCAAACTGACTGAGGGTGCACTCGATCCCCTTGTCCAGATCATCGATAAAGATATTGAACAAGACCGGCCCCAAAACTGAGCCCTGGGGAACACCGCTCGTGACCGGCCGCCAACTGGATTGAACTCCATTCACCACAACTCTCTGGGCCCGGCCGTCCAGCCAGTTTTTGACCCAGCGCAGAGTACGCCTGTCTAAGCCGTGAGCCACCAGCTTCTCTAGGAGAATGCTGTGGGAGACAGTGTCAAAGGCCTTACTGAAGTCCAGGTAGACCACCTCCACAGCCTTTCCCTCGTCCACTAGGCGGGTCACCTGGTCATAGAAGGAGATCAGGTTGGTCAAGCAGGACCTGCCTCTCATGAATCCGTGCTGGCTAGGCCGGATCCCCTGGTTGTCCCGCTCATGCCTTGTGAGTGCCCTCAAGATGAACTGCTCCATAACCTTCCCCGGCACCGAGGTCAGGCTGACAGGCCTGTAGTTCCCCGGATCCTCCTTCCGGCCCTTCTTGTAGATGGGCGTCACATTGGCAAGCCTCCAGTCGCCCGGGACCTCCCCCGTTAACCAGGACTGCTGATAAATGATGGAGAGCGGCTTGGCGAGCACCTCCGCCAGCTCCCTCAGCACTCTCGGGTGGATCCCATCCAGACCCATAGACTTGTGAGCATCCAGGTGGCGTAGCAGGTCATTGACTGCTTCCTCTTGGATTACAGGGGGTTCATCCTGCTCGCCGTCCCCATCTTCCAGCTCAGGGGGCCGAGTACCCTGAGGATAACTGGTCTGCCTGTTAAAGACTGAGGCAAAGAAGGCATTGAGTACCTCAGCCTTCTCCTCATCCTCGGTGACAATGTTCCCCCCAGCATCCAATAAAGGATGGAGATTCTCCTTGGCTCTTTTTTTGTCATTAATATATTTGTAAAAACATTTTTTGTTGTCTCTAACAACAGCGGCCAGATTGCGTTCTAGCTGGGCTTTTGCCTTTCTCATTTCCTCTCTGCACGACCTAACGAGATCCCTGTACTCTTCTTGAGTCGCCTGCCCCTTCTTCCACAAGTGGTAAACTCTCCTTTTTTTCCTGAGTCCAAAAAAAATTTTAACAGGAATTAAATATTTCTTTAAATCAAACTAGAATATATTCATATAAACTGCAACTCTTAAATATATTATGTTGTTTCCCGAGGCATGCCAAAAAGCTAGATAGCAGAAGACTGGTGTTGGTGTAAGAATTGGAGTACTGTAGTCATCTGTTCCAAGAGATGTATGTGGATACGTTTTGGGTTTTGGGCAGTTATATTGCACACCCTTTGATGGTATATATACCTGAGTATTTCCTTTCCATATCATTAATGATCTAGTCATGAGAAGTGGAGCGGAGGAGGGGATCTGGAAGCAGGAGCAAGCCATGCACAGCTCTATCAGGACATCACAGATTCACCAAGCACCTTCCATGCCCTCCTTCGGATCTGGCCAAGACATGTCACCTCCATTCTTCAGCACAGACAGTGCTTTGAATGGAGGCAACTGGGAGGCTGGGAGTTCAGACCAGCCTTTCATTTCTACCCAGTATCCATCTATCAGACAGATCCAGGAGAGCTGCTTTCCCTCTCATTGCCACTGCAGCAGTGCTGGAGCAAAACTAGGGAGGGAACCCGGAGAAATGTTTAGATAGGATGAAGTTCACCATCACAATGTGAAGGAGAGCATCTGGCCAGACAAATTAAAACATATCTTCCACTTGCCTCCCTCCTCACTGCTATGGGGGTACTCTGGTGGGAAGAAACCTGAGAGCACCTAAATTTCATGCCAGATCTGCTGAAAAAATGGGTGCTTTTTCGTTCAGTAGTGAGGAGCAAGTATGAGGGCAGGGGATTTGGTTACGTGCTTTTCTATCAGCAAAGCATCTCCACCTTTCTCTTGCCCTTCCCAGACGTCTCAAACACTGCTAGGAACAAAGTTGTCCCCTCAAGGTTAGCCCTACCAGTGCTTATCAGCAATAGCTGTTCCCACCGGACTTTCCCTAGATATTCCAGCTTGTGCCTGCTCTTCTCCCACCAATTTTAAACACTCATGACAGCTTGAAGGAGAGGGTGGGTTGCTGTTGCTGCAGCTCCACCATATGTCCTCAGCCACGCTCCTTCCCTGGCTGCCTCTCCGTATTTGGGCACTTGTCCAAGGCAACCTCTCGGTAAGAAAGCGTTGAGCCGTGCAACCCTGACCCTCTTGTGTAAACCTCAGACCTGGTTTCTGGCCAGAAATCTCCCCTGGACAATGGGAGAGAGACTCTCACACGTGCAAACGCTCCCAGAATAACTCTGAGTCCTGTACTTGGGATGTGTCCAAGAGCTACATGTACAGTGAGGAGAGCCCCGATCTCCCCTTGTCTCTGCCTTCACCCCTCGGACCATCAGGTGTTTTAATGAGATGGATTTATTTAATGAGATGGATTTAGTAGATGGGTTTAAGAGGCGATCCAGTTCCTACGATGGAGATAACTTTTCCTGCGATGCTGAGGCAGGGACGACGACCAGGATGCAGGTCCTTGCACTGTGAGTGGTTTGAGAGGGAGGGCACATTGCAAGCGTCTGGCCTTTGGGAAAACAAATTCTCAATTAGGGCATTAGCACTGTGACTAGTCTCCTGCCTGGAGAGCTGAAATGGGAGGAAACACCGACCCAGCGAATGGACTCCTCTAGGGACCAAGCCAGACCCCGTGAAGGGAGGACGGGTACCTGGGGAGCTTGGTGCTCCCCAAAGGAATCCCAAGCAAGAGACAGGCTGTGATTTACTAAGGGTGCAGTTTCTTTCTTTCTTTCCTGAGGTCTGTATTAATGCTCTTTGGAAAAAATTGTCTGCAAAATATCCTCGCTGTGAGCGCCCATGCACCGGGGGTAGTCTGGACACAGCCTTCAATGATTTGTAATCCCACAGTCAGAAAACTCGCTCTCTAGCATCGTGCCCCATGTGATAACGGGGAAAAACAAAACCCTTCGCAGAAACTGGCATCTGCAGCAAAGAGCCCTCCGGATTCAAAGTATTTCCTTTCACTAGAGTAAATTACGTTTTATGACTATAATTAACTGGGAGCCAGTACACACTGCGCTGGTTTTAAGCTGACTCAATGCTGTCTGCGAAGCACAGTGTGATAAAACAATATTCAAATCAGCTTCTTAACTAAGCTGGCGAGTGACACAATCCGGAGACGGATGCCAAAAGTAAGTGGAGATTTGCAAAGCCCTGGGCGCGGGAGGGGATTTCAAAGACTGGGAGTACATTCTTTAAAGAGCTGGTTTCCAATCTGCAGTCTGTGGATGGGTCACGGTCTCTGAAACATGGGAAGTGCCCTGCAATGTGTTCCCAGAACCTCACTGTTACGTTATTTTTGTAGCAAAAAAAAAAGGTACCCAAAAGCATTGGAGACGTCTGAGGCTGGAAGCCACAACTGTGGGATTTTATGAAGGCAGATGAAATAATGAGCAGTTGTGGCTAAAAGGATCAAGTCTTCCTGTCCACCACTTGCTCTAGGTGGAAATGTTTTATGTACTGTTAAACATGCTGAGTGAGGCCCACGCGTGGAACTTACCTGCATGGGGCTTAGCTTTGTGCCACTCTGTTCTGCAGGGTTTAGACACGGTGCAAATCAAACCTGAGGACTCACCACTGCATCCTCCTGCAGCAACGGCATAACCAGAGCTAACTCCTGCTTTGGTCTAGTCTTTATTATTGCTGTGCCTCCAAACTAGAGAAAAGCAATTCTTTCCTTATTCTGTTAAGATTTTCAGAGAAGTTTGGCAGTTTTTAGGCTGCTAGCTCCACTTCTAAATGTTTCGGCCGGTTCCCTAAATAAAAGCATCAGAAAGGTCAAGGGTCCAGAAATGCCCCCTCTTCCAAACCAGTGTATGGGTGAATGCTTACCTCAACAAGTTTTGTCAGCGGTCTAGGCACGTGGGAAGTCAAGGAGAGGTGTGAAAAGGTCTAATGAGGGAAATGGTTCGTTGCGCTTGAAAAGCCCTTGAAAAGCCGGTTTCAAAGAAATTAAGGCTTTTCTTCATCAGGTGGTGTTTAATAAATGAGCAGTCCCATGAAGGTGACGCAGTCTATCTCCATCTCCATGTGCTGTGCAGCTCCAAGCAAATAGCCAAATGGCAACAGTACCGATAGGAAAACATAATGCGCTTTTTTTTTCCCCTGTCGTTTAACATACAGGACTAGGATTGTTCCCAGGGACGGTGGAGTTGAGCAAGAGGACAGCTGGGTTACCTCAGGCAGCCCTGAGCTAATGCCAGTTATGCTGCTTTCCAGGTAAAACAACCTCAGGGCTCTCTGGGTGCAAAAGCTCTCCTGTAGCCCCAGTGCCTGAGGTCCTTAAGCACAGCCTGGTGAAGCTGGCCTCTGGGTAATTGCTCCGCAGGACTTAAGCCCATCTCTCTCTCAGGCTTGCCAAGGTGCGAATGAGTGGGTAATAATACCTCAAGCTGAAAAAACCTCCATTTAGGGAGGGTCTACATGTTGACACCTACTTGTGAGTTTGCTGCTGAGGTGCCTCTGATGGTCACTGGAGGTCAGGGCTATGCCGCCAGTGGAGCTGGAGAGCGGGTCAGGCCACCCACCAGCCTCTCGGTACTCCAGGGGCACGTGGTGAAAGCTTTTCATGATGACAAAGTGACTCAACTTTAAGTATTTGATGCTCCAATGCCTCAGGATGATCTGCTGAAAGCTTGACTCATTAGGAGACCTTCCACATGCTGGTGGATGGGATTATGAACCTGAAGGCTACCCACAGATTGCTTGCGACTGCACCAGCCCTAAAACTCACACATTCTCTCCCTCCTTCTCTCCCTGTATGATATGGCCATACTCTCCAGTGGTGCTCATAATAGCTATTAATCACCACTTCTTGGAAAACCATGTGGTTCTGAAGGTGTTTGACCTTTATGGTGTCAATAGAGATGTTATAATGCCTATAACTGTGCCTTTCCTTTAATAGGATGCCTTTCCTTTAACGGCTTATTTTCTTATTGCTGCATATTATTATGTTAAACCCTACAGAACTGCAAACCAGCGCTCTTACCATATTTTCTTTCTATATGATAAAGAGTAAATTATAAAAAGACTGAAATTGAAATGAAACCTTTCATTTGAGTGAAGTGGAAGAATTTTTCATGAGTCTGATGGAAAACTTGCATTTTTGTCCGTGGGTCAGTTTGGAAAGTTGATCCTATCTGGGACAAAACTCCTTGTTGAAATCGTGGATTTCTGCACAGCTGAAGGCAAGAATCCTCCCATTCTTGATGTGGTGATGAGAGTTACCTCCATGCACAGCCAACTTTGTTGACTCCTCAGGAGAGGTGGGTTTTGTTTGCTTGCCAGTGCTAGTAAATACTTTAGAATTAGTGAAAAATTCATGTTCTAGCTCAATATAATAGTAAATACAATGTATGTCTACAGAAATTGCAGTTACATCGGGAGAGTTTCCAGTGCAAGGAAAGGAGATTTCAGCGCTGCTCCGAGGCAGGGCAGAGGAGATGAGAAGTTTCTGTGGAAGTGAATATGGTGGTGTTGTGCTTGTGACCAATTCCAGAGTTCGGGGGTTTGGGTCAGCTTTGGGTCTCTGAGCTTCCAGAAGACGTGAGAGGGAGGCTGGCACGCAGGTAAAGGAGGCATTTACCTCTACGGGTTGGCAGTCCTCTCTACTCCCAAAACCCAGGACCCCAGTATGGCTTTTTGGAGTAAATGCAAAGGCATATGACAGTGGACTGGCGTGGACAGATGTGCAGTCTGTTGACTGCACATGACGAGACCAGGGACAGAAGATGTGGGTACCCGTGCTCGCAGGCTGAGCAGGCAGTCCTGGGGCTGTGCGAAAGTGCGGGAAGAAGAAGCGTTTGAGATGCTCTAGGGTAAATCTCCTGCTTTCCCTTTGCCACCCTCCCAGAGGTGGTGTCACACCTGTAAGCCCATTGCAGATGTGGTGGTTCCCTACACACCTG